ATAACCATAACACCTATTTTATTGTATCGTTTGAACATACAGTCTAAGGAGCTGATCTTTGGAAAAAGGCCAATAACCTTCTAGTACCATAAAAGATCTCAAAAACAAATTTCATGATCGCTGCTAAATTGTAATCAATCTTACAGCTCAATTCAGTGGATGTACAGGAAGATCGCGAAGAATTGTGTTTTCCAAAGCAATCTCACAAATTCAAATAGAAGCGGAATCTTGGTCATGAGCGCTGTTAACGGATTTTGATTCTAACAAACCCTCTTCTAGGCCTAGGCCACTTCAAGGGAGGTCATTACAGTCATAGAACCACTCTTCCATCTTTCGACGGATGAGCTCTTCTTTAATAGCATTACGTTAGATTTCACTGGCCGCTTTCAGAGTCCGCGTGCGCGCGTGCCAGCGCTCGTGCCGCCAGCCACTTGATGACAACACTGGCACGTGATCCATCGGCATAACCATCGCGTTGTCAACAAAAGGCCGCTCTGACGGCATACCGGCGAACTGAACGGGCCTCGATACTGCTTCACAAGGCTGGGTTTTTCTTTACCTACCAAATTGCATAAGATCCTATTATGATGTTCCTGAGGGTTTTACTTGAGCATTATTCTATTTTAGCGTTGTGGGAAAAAAGTTTTCGATACACACAAAATTTTTAAAATCACACCCTCCAAAATTCTTGGAAATATGCCTAAAATTATCGTTTTTTGCAAGGGACATTCATATGTTTATATGGGTATTTGTCCATATTAGGAAAGGAAAATAATTATGCGTAGACATGCTACTCATAGAGAAATATAGCAAATCCATATAGCCATCCCAAATAAGGATTTACCACCAAATATGCCTTAAGGCACTGACGTCCTCTCAACTNCTTCTCTCAACCCCCCCCCCCCCCCCTAGACCAATAACTGGTAAATAAGGAATATGGATTCGCTATGCGCATTCAAAAACGCTTCAGATGACACATAGCCAATTGCGAAAGCTAATTTGACAAGCCATTCTTTCCTTGTGAATAGCTGATTGAAAATTTCCAATGAACATCTAGTCATCCAGCTGATTCCTACTCGCCCCCGTAAACAATCATATTCTCAGCGTTTTTAAAAGAGCTGGATCATTTGCTAGACCACCTGGTGTGGTCGAGAGTCTCACAAATTATCGTGCTCAAGAAGTAAACAAATGTTGCCAGAAATAACACAAACCTGGAGATAATCTTGAATTTCTCCACAGTCAGGTCGCCCATCAATTTCTACCCATTCTAAAGCTCCCGGCTTTAAATGTTGCGATTCCAATGCAGCTTTTGCCTGGAAAAGGAACATGCTAACAACATTGAAAATAACTGCCACGACTTTCCTGAAAAGCATCATAAACGGGAGGAATGAGGTAATTTGAAAAAAAACATCTTTCCCCTACAGGCATCATTAGCTTAATTTGTTATGAGGACTGTCCGTCCCCATGAAAGTGAGACATCCCATTTTTCAATTCATATAATGACGAATAACAACAGTAAAAACATAGAAATGAATTTTTAAAAAATGAAAAAGAAAAGGAAATCAGTAACTCTCGACCTGCTACTAACTGGTAAATTCCCTTCACCTTGAAGAATAGATTATTACTTTCTTATACCCCGATTCGCAAAAGGTCTTGAAACCTGTGCGAGTATTTTTAGATGGAGTGGAGGTATGTGTGGTGCACCCCACTTCTACAAAAGCACATGAAAATTTCAGTAAGGGGTTTTTGAAAAAGAAAGGAACGGGACAGCATCTCGCGATACCGAGGCCTTTTTGTCCGATTCAACCTTTAAAGCCATAAGAAACTGGTGCCCAAACCTACACTCAGAAAGGTTGACAAAAATTTGCCCGGCTTTCGTTTCGGCGAGTTGTTCGTGAGGCACCAAGCTTGGTATCCCTTCAGTAGGACCTTATTTAAACGCTTCCCTTTTCAAAATAACTGAACAGGGTAGGCTACTTTTAAATGTTCAGTTGAAAAACAACGTATCCATACATTCCTAGTGCATATTAACAAAATAAGCTGAAGTTGTAGTTTCTACTTGTTGGTGCAATTAACGGAGAACGAAAGATAATCTCAGTATGCGTGGAATTGGTTAGATATTGGACAAAACCACCTGCTCAGAGTATTATTACATGTCCCAATGAATTATAAAAGGTCTATAAAGTAGAAGAAATAATTATTGGGTGAAAACCACTGATAGGGCATTCAATTTGAAACGTTTCACGTTAATAGAGTGCAGTTGTGTCTCTGCAGAAACAATACATTTTAATTGACGTCACGAAATATGTCAATAGTTATGATCGCGTTTACGAGCGTACAAAAAGAACTGCATAGGAAACGAAGTCAATGAAGGTGAATCGGGAAGCTATTACCTTGTGACAATAGGGGCAATAGGATTTGCTGAATACAACGACTTTATGAGACCGGAGGAGTCCGTCTACGTAGTCCTTGACGGCCATGCTCGGTAAAGATCTGTAAAAATCCGTAAATAACTGCTGATAGAGCAAGGATAAGATTGTAAAGAGAAAATAGTCAATTTATATTGCGATTGTGAATATGTCAAGGTTTTACTACAATGAAAGTGGGCCTATTTGTTCGTGGTTCCAAGAAAAAGAATGATACACTGGAACTCGGAAAATTGGAGGCAAAAAACTTTGGGTTGTATTCGTCAACGCTTACAACTTAAATATTATTCCGAAAGGTTTCTTGAAAGGATCTCTGCAAAATATTTTTCAACCAACTGAATAATTCTGTCTTATGGGAATAAAAATCGGCATTCGGTGTGAAAAACTGGCGAAAACGGCCAAAAAGAACGCGGTAATCTATTCGAGAAGACCAGAGATCACTGAAGGAATGATAGTGATGACGTACGAGCATTAAATTTATCTTATCACATTTTTCTGGGGCACATATCTTTCAATTGAGCTTAAAACCCTTCAACATGGAATTAAAAAGTATTTCAATCAGATTCTTTTAAATTAACTAACTTATAAGGCTAGATAGTATAGGAAAGAAGGAACAAAACAAACTTTGAGGCTCCCATGAAATGAAAACTTCCGACGGTGACGGTATCACAAGTTGTTCGTTCGGGATGTATGTATGAAGCTGCCAGCGTGTGGTCACTTCAGGGGGCGCGGCTTGTCACCCGACGGACGCCGCAGTGGCCGCCCACACGGGGCAGGTGGCCAACTTCTGGGAACATAATAAAGGGATAGAATTTTTGTGGCGCGATCAATCCTTCGTTTCAAAATGATTTTTCTCATATGACTTTCATTTGGAATGGCTTGTTCAGTGAAAACCAGCCGAAATAGACAAGTCATTGTTTTCGAACTTGAGAAATTCTGTAACCAATTGACAGACTTGTCAGAAGAGTAAGGATCCCACCTGAAGAAGCACCTGGAAAGGTCGAGTTAAGTTTGAGATGGATTAGAATAGGGTGAGATCAACGAGCACGCCATCAACAGCGAAGCTCCGCCCAGGGAGGCAGGACATGCACGGATTGGGCGATGCCCTGAGCGAGCTTTTCAATTGGGTTACATAACAGTACAAACTACAGGAAAAAATCGTGCCAAGTTGAGGAATGGGTAAACAAACTAGCTGGAATAGACCTGTCCGCGGTGGGAGGAGCGTTCTTCAAGTGGGCGGACTTTCTGCATAAATCCATGACTCGATTCAACGAAAGCCTGGGTGTCAGAAAAAAATAGCGAGAATGAGCAAGAATTAATACGTGCTGGGCAGGCGAAAACTTAACGAAGCTTAGCCCACGATGGATGGAAGGTGCTTGTGAAGTAAATATACAATTCTGCTCGCAAACGTTCCAAAATCTAGATTCGAAGTTACCGGAGCTTAAGAAGTACGTCAACCCTTCAAATTGTGCGGAGTGAGCACAGAGGCGGGTACGGCTAGGACGAAAAACTCGACTCACGTATCCACTAGCTCAAGAAACATACGAATCACGGAAAAAAAGGATAAAGGCTATCGGTGGGATGTGGTCGAATGAGCTCAGACATCAGGAATTATTAGCATAGGCGAGGAATGGGTCACAGGAAAGTAACGTACAGTACAGTCAACACAGGCCCTCGCCAACGGCATTACTTTCCACACAAATTCACAAGTCCATTACATCAAAGTCCATAGGCCAGATACTCGAGGGGTTGAACTCAAACCAAAAAGTTCGCAACTCTGTCGAGTACGTCCTCCGTTGTGATGCACGCGTTAGTGTGCGTAACCAAGGTTATCGTTGTGAAATATCAATAGTCGCCACCTCCTCTACCACTTGTTTGTTTTCCCCCTGCTTGCAGTTGTTGAGAGTCACACTATTTTGGCCATGGCAAATGAAAACAAGGTCGATACACAAAACATCAAGTCAAAATAAGCTCGACAGCCGCTGAGAAATTTCAATCTCCGCAAAGAACTTCGAAATTCTAACTCAGTTTCCTAGTCATCGTAAGCTGAGCCGTTTATTTCCCTCACAAACTCCGCCTAGCTTGTAGACGTAGACGCTCGTGGTTTTTTTTATATCACCTTTGAATTATTACAGCCTTCGAAGTATAGTAAAAAACAAACATAAACTTCTTGACCAACTCCATCGGTATTACTTGAATAGACCAAGCCAATCCTGCTATACACAATCGGCCCACTGCTAACCCTTTCACCAGAATGTTCATTTCGAAACAAGTCAGATTTTGAACTGTTGCGCTGCTGGCACCCACCGATGGGTGCCGTTGTCGAAGGAGAAATTCTTCTCACAGTCGTACTAATTTTAGCAACATCTCTCGTATAGTAGAAGTATTAAGATTTTATTTCATATAATTAAGGATTAAAATGAGAGTTTGGGTTTGGAGGCAATGTAGGATAAAATTTTGGAAACAATGTACGCAGGAGGAAATCGCATGGCCTTTGAGGCGTGCTTTGAGACTGTCATGCTGACAATGAGACCGACCGGGCGGTAACATGATCGAAGATCGGGGCTTCCACTGTTTGCAAAGCTTTTAGAACGTACGCAATTCTTGCGAAAACGCCTGGGATTGTTCAGTAGTATCCCACTGACTATAAATTTTTGCAATAAATAAGCCTTTCTAAAACCGTCACACAAAGTGGTAGTGGCAGGTGGTGAAGTGGCAAGTGGCGCACTATCTCACACGCTCGGTCAAGTATTCGAATCTCGGATCAATGCCCGCCTAGACCAACCAAGCCTTCCATCCCTCCGAGCTCGGTTAATTGGTACCAGACCCGTCTAAGAGGCTAAAAGCGCTGACTTGCACGTCGGCTAGCCACCGCAAGTCATTGTATAGGCCACATACGCACTCATTACGCCACTACGATTCTGAATGGAAGTCGAGTGCGGGGCGCATCCCTCAGACGGGATTGATTAACACAAAAAAGCTTTAACTTTAAACTCTATGTATTATCAAAGTTTTGAGCCTGATTGTTTTGCTGTAACCGTTAACAAACCATCGATTCAAGAGAATCAAGATGAGTATTCCACATCCAGAAATCTATACCATTCCTATTCGGCATGAATCGTTTTGATTGTAAAAGTGTCATGCGAACAATTGTTTCTCTAGAGCAAAAAAAAAAAGATGAACGGCATTCGTTTATCGAGAATAACCAATTCTGGACTACATTGCGATCATGCAATCAAATATAGCACAGAATACATCCCATATCAGCGCAAGGTTCAAATAAAATACACTCCCTCGAACTTGTAATCACCTTTTAGTTCAGTGTCTTCAAGAATGACCTTACCGTTGATATTGAATACGGTGATAAATGTGGCCGTAGAATCGCCAATTTCTTTCGTCTTCAAGGCGACAATAAGCTCGTCATTTGTGTCCGGAATAAAAGTGAATGCAGAATACCCTCTCTCAGGATTTCGTTCTCCAACCGTTTTGAATTCGAAATGAACAAGATCCGGCGAACTTATAAGAAGATTCGTACCCCTGAAAACGAAGTTGTCTAAAATCTGCTGCTTATCTGGCTTAGGGATTTCCACACACTTCATGTCATCCTCCGCTCTATTATAGGGTGTGTTCGCCGCTTTTCTAGGGAGAAAGAACCAACGTCTTTGTTTTGCCGACCACTGTACAGCTTCATGTTTTATGTATCCTGCTTCAGAAATACCGACCGAAGCCTTTATTTTATTGTAGATATCGGTCCAGTTTCGGTGAGTAACCTTAATAGATATTATGATATGATATTAATGGATTTTAGCCATATTCTCATTCCCCCAAAACCAGTGACTAGAGCTGTATTTCTGCTGTCTAAAGGTGCATTCTGCTGTTCATAGAGGAGAGGGGAGTGACCGGTCTTGAAAAAGCGGTAGCTATTCATTATCCTCTGCAGATAATAATACCGAGTACCATGCTTGAGCTAAAGATGTGGAGAACACAAAACAGCATGTAAGCAGATGCTTTGTAGAGAAGCGCTTCATGAAGGCATTGCTGCTCTCCAAGTGACGTTGCAATGTAAGAGTTTTGGATATGTAAGCATTACCGTAGCACTGTGAAAAGCGGTGAGCTTTCAGATGGAGTGAGTGATGGGCGCTGTAAATCCTACTTAATCTGGTATGAGTACAGGTGGCAGGATAGGAACAAATGTCTGAGCGGAAAATCATAACTTCTGTTCGCGTGGACCTGATGAGTTCAAACTACGTAGGAACACAGAGGCAGGATGGGAACAGTGTTGACAGATGGCAGGACTAGATTCCGGTGGGGTTTGCGCGGAAACAGTCGCTTTGAACCTAAAACTTTCAGATTTGCAGGGGATACAGGCGGCAAGATGGAAACACTAATGGTAAGTGACGGAATGTAATGACTCCCCTAGAATGAAAAAGCCCTGGAAGGTAAGAGCGGCAGGTTCTTTTATCTCCTCCGCATTAAAAAAGGAGGACTGGCACTTTGTTAGGTGGTGGGATGTGAAGAGAACGTGGCGATCGTTGACAAGGGCTAATAACAATCGAAAAGGGCCGACCTCCTCCCGAAGTGAAAAGGGAAGTGAAATCCTTACGCCTTTGTTATTTACGATCTAGCTTTGAGTTTTCGATATATGTATTTCAGTCGATAAGACGGGCAAGTTCATCGATAGGGACTGATTAAAGGCACCATTGTGAACAGAATGAAAATTTGGTTCTATTATTGCTGTTAGGTGACGACCACTACCCAGCAAGGTCTGTGTCCAATGAAGGACCACGGTTCCCCTGTTTAAATATCATTCGCCACAAAACTTATCCAACCGGCAATAATCATAGATTCTCAATTACTGACATACCCGAAGCGAAAGGAAGCGTTATTGATAAAGACCTTTGATAGTGGTGTTACAATTACTCGGCAGCATTTGTGAGTATCATTCCAGGCTTTGACTGCCCTCTATTTGAACCTTCAATAAATCATTGATCTCAAGATGAACGGCAGCAGAGCGAGACCTCTAATTATGAGCATAAGCATTGGCCTGCATAGACCCATTTTGAACACTTCTTGCATGCCCTATTAGTCCTCTGTCGAATTTCGTATTCCGTTAAGTTTTACAACTATACCATTAGAAGAAAGAAAGCCCGGTGTCAGCCGGGCAGCCCAGTTGGTATAATTTCAAACCGGATTCTCAACTTTTCGTTATCTTTAAACTGGCTGATTTACTTAACAAATGCAGTTCAAATAGGATGCCCACTCACTGCTCAGAAATGAAGCAGCGGATGAGCAATGCGATTTTGAGGCCTCTACGGGAGACAGCAAAGTTCTCACAAAAAATCTTTCATAACTTTTGATTTCTACTCGAAACATCAATGCTGGCTTACAAATTTGTGCGATAGCAAGCACTGCTATACTGCTTACCTCTCCCTTTGGAGTAACAGTTTTGACCCACATGTTATTTCGGTCTAAACCATGTNATAATTTCAAACAGGATTCTCAACTTTTCGTTATCTCTAAACTGGCTGATTTACTTAACAAATGCAGTTCAAATAGGATGCCCACTCACTGCTCAGTAATGAAGCAGCGGATGAGCAATGCGATTTTATGGCCTCTACGGGAGACAGCAAAGTTCTCACAAAAAATCTTTCATAATTTTTGATTTCTACTCAAAACATCAATACTAGCTTACAAATTCGTGCGATAGCAAGCACTGCTATACTGCTTACCTCTCCCTTTGGAGTAACAGTTTTGACCCACATGTTATTTCGGTCTAAACCATGTTTAGTCGCCTAAAAATATTAGGTCTCAAATTTAAACGGACTTGAATGGATAGAAGCTCTGTAAATTCTCGATGGTTTCAGAAAATCTGTAAAAGAACTCTAAACGAACGAATCGCACAGCTTTGAAGCACCCAAGTATTGAGCAGTAAAATAAAGGCATTTTACATTTATTGTTCGCACTCACAATACCGTTGCTTCCCACGTAAAGCAAATCATCCTTGATAGTCATCCATTCGCATTTGAAACCTTCAGTTGTGTTTCCGGGACCGGAGTTGAGGAATACCCAGGGAATAATCTAAAAGACCTCATGATCGGATGACCATATTCTAACAAAGACTTGACTGTCTTCATTACTTGATCGCCTCTGATTTCACTGATCATTCCGGTTTTGTCGTCAGGAGTGAGTATTCTATTGTGGAAGACCGTCAAGTCGGATAATTCCATAGCACGTCCTTTTATATTCAGTGACCTAGAGCGGCTGTGTTTCTCGGGACTGTCAATCTGATTCAAACACTATGAGACTATAACGAAGGTAATCCTCAATCTGAGATGATTGGTCAGTCGAGAATTTACGAAGTAAAGTTAATGCCTGACTTCCAAGCAAATGAACCCACAAATGAATCACTACGCTAGCAGGTCCTATAAAAGGAGCTTTTTTAGGTTCCGGAGCACTATACTGAACCTTTAGAATAAAATAGAATCTTTCGAATCTTTGTTGTTTTTTACGAAGAAGACAGAAGATGAAAAGAAATACGGCCATACATTCCTCTTACAAATTCCGAAACCACACACGCATAGGAATGATCTTCTTCCGGTGAAACTAAAGGAAATGCTTATTATAAACTCACGACGTCAGGTTTTGATCTTCACTCCACGATATGTTCACTTGCATGTTGTGACGATTCAACCACAAGTGACCTTTTCGGATGACTGCTCTCCATACGAAGTCACCAACTTGTGAATCTCTATCAAGATCGGTGACGATAAGCAATTCATATTCAGTGGATCCATTACTGTAGTTGCGAATGGTTGGTCGATACTACACAAAATAGAAAAAAGATTCCGTCGTTACCTCGGAGATAAAAATGGGAACAAAAGTGAGAAGAGAGAAAACGCCTCAATAATTTAGGGGTTTGATAAATGGCAATATGGCAGTATTACATTATTTGGCGAGAGCATACCTTGACATACAGCTTTGCATACCTATGTTTGTGACACCCAAATTGCATTGTGCCCTTCCCCTTGAAGGGTGACTGCATGGAAGTCGAGGTCATATACCGAATTCGATGCCCGGTCTGCGATGCTATGTGTATAGGTGAAACAGGTTGTCCCCTTCATACGCGAACCAGAGGACCTCTGGAGAGGCTAAGAGAATCTCGCATACAATCACCTTTAGGAATGCACCGAGTCGAATGTCATGATGGAAACTAGTTTGTAATTTCAGTAACCATCTTGGCAACAGAAACGAACACCACTGCGCGAAAAACACTCGAGTTCGAGTTCTGGACTGCCGCTAGAGATCCACAAATTAATAGGAAAAAGAGCCATAACCCGCAACCTCGCGCCCTTCCACGACTTCTACAAATCTTGAATTGCGGTGAGGTCAGGAAGAAGATGGGTTCGTCATTATATGCAGAAATTTCGTTCTTGAGTGATCGTCGTAGTGGTTGGACTTAAAGATCAAGGAAGCCATGTAGCACCTTTGTATTGATCGAGTCCAATGGGTCTATTAGTTTGGAGGGCTGTTTTAAGTACTATCTGGACTTACGTAAGGATCAATCTTGGTTCCTTCTCCAGCTTTCAATCTGTGAGCAGGGCGAAGAGGCCAAAACGTAAGCTGGATAAACTTGTGAAATCTCGGAAAGGCCTAAATCAGTACAAAAAAATCTAGCTATGCCGAGATTAAGAGAAAGTCGGTCATGGTCATACCTTGACATTCCCGTCTTTTGCTATAAGAGCGCTGTCTGAAATGAATGTTTACGCCAGGTTATCTTGGAATAAAAAGGTATTCAAAGTAACCTCCATTTCTCAAAGGAAGAGCATCTATCAGCAGAACCTACAATTGTAATGAGCAGGCGTGCTTACTAAGATATACTCAAATGAATCGTGAAAGCGAAACATACCATTGAGAAGAAATACATATACATCCTCGTAGATAGTATAGCGTGTGGCCTGGAATTCAGCTGATCACTGACTTTGGTGTTCAACTCTGCTGAAAACTGCTTTTATAGGGAACATTGCCATAAAGTTACGAATTGCAGAAATGAAAAATTGAAAACGATTTTATGGTGATCGAGCAGGTTTGCGATTGGACGTTCTCTGACTCGTCAATTATTTTATGTGTTATGTTTTATATGATAGCGATTCGTCCCAATGAGTGTGAATAGGTGAGGCAAATGAAATGCATGACAATCGTGTATGATTTCGTTCTTTTTCCTTTGATCGCTTCCTTTCTGCATTTTTTTGGCTGCCATTTTTTTTTCAAATTCATTACTTTATGGCGACACTCTCTGTAAAAGTCGTCCCCACTGGTAAAGCAACGATACCCATCAGCTTAAATTTGTACTTTCTTTTGTTCGATATGTATATGTGTTTACTTTCTATTGTAGGTTTTGCTTCCGCTATTCATTTAAATAGATCTCAGTATGCTTGGCCCCTCAGCGCAATTTCAGATTCTGCTTACAGATGTTCTACCTTCAATACATGTTAAGCTCATTTTTAATACGTTTTCCTCTTGAGATCACTATGAAATGGATCTCTATTCCATAGGCTGCTCCCCTAGCAATAAGCCGGTAGACCTGGCATGGTCCCACTAAGTAATGTAAATGTTACAGAATCATAATTTGTTATATTTTCTCGGAGTTGATAGCTCTCTTTTGTGCCTTCTCATATCTTCTGTTTTGAAGATACAATGCTGGATGTGCTGAATATGAATTGTTTATCGGTGTCGATCTGATGGAGCTTCAAAAGCGATAACTATGCGTGATGAACGTTACACGACGAGGTCTATTGACTTCGAATAGCGGTCCTTAGAGCGAGGTTTGGCTTTACCCTTGTATTAAACACCCACAACTGAGAAAAAATTTGCTTGGAGTAAGTGAACATCTAAACATTTCATCCTACTCTGGTGGATCAACTTTGTCTGCCGTCTCATTCAAATCCTTCAGATTTGAAAGTGTTCAGGTCCATAAAAGAAACGCGTTAGCAACTGATGGTGAAGTGTGTGCCATTGCCTTGATGAAAAGCAAGTCGCCCATTTCTCGTCTTTGTATTTGATCGAAAACGACGCTCGGTTGTATTCGGGTACTACCTGAGTGAAATTACCGGTTTGAGAAAGTAGTCGCCTCAGAACAATGAATATAAAAAGACGTGCTATGGAAATGACCATGTTCACAGTGTTTCGCAATAGGATACTCACCTCTGACGGCAAAACCGGAATGAGCACTGAAATCAGAGGCAGTCAAGTAACGAAGACCGTCACGTCCCTGCTTTAACCCGTTTTTAGCAGATAATGAGGTTAGTTCCGATCTTGGATATTTCTTACTTATCTGATCTTGCGGTCGATCCAAAATATTCCTTGGATATTCCTTAACTCTGGTTTCAGAAGCACGGCTCACACCTTCAAGTGTGATTTGATGAATACCCAGTATGGCTTGCTCCACGTTGGAAGTGGGTTCTGTACACGTGAAGATGTATGTTGCTCAATAGATGAATGTTTCGGTATTTATGAAGGGCTTGCTCACAGAAATTTTACGAAATTGCTGAGGAGTTATAGTGGTCTTACTGGGCTTGACTTTGTCGCTGCTCTCTTTCTATTGTTCTCTCAATTTCAGGGTCCCTACGCTTCCTACGCTTTCGTTCTGAAGAATCTCATGAGTTGATATGAGAACAGTGAACTTAAACCCATGCGTATTCGTGGAGCCAATCATTCTTTACCATTTCATCGGTTGGCAACCCTTCTTCCTTCCATCTCTCCCCCTCTTCTCGGACAAGTAACGAAATACATCAAAGACGTTGGAGCGGAATCTAGCTCCAGCCACTCATTGAGAAGAGTTCAAACAGGTGATCTTTTGTACCCGTCAAAGTTGCTAGCAGAACTGAGTTAGTATGTACAATAAATCAAAGATTCTGTCGGTTCCCCTTAAGTAGCATAATTCATTTATGAGCATTCCCCATAATTGAGCAGAGGATGACCTCTTTTGTATGCTCGCTTTTTTTTCACTTCAGAGACTTACTCTTAAAAAGTAAATGATTACATGACGGTCTGCAACTACATAAAGCAAGGAACCTTGAGGAAAAAAGGAGAGCTTGGTGATATGCTAGTCGTAATAAATAAAATTGAAGAACATTCATCTCAATCTAACCCCCAGCTGTTACCTTAATATTGACTGTCGCTACCATAATTGTACTTCACTGGCGGGGNCAGTTCAGAGACTTACTCTTAAAAAGTAAATGATTACATGACGGTCTGCAACTACATAAAGCAAGGAACCTTGAGGAAAAAAGGAGAGCTTGGTGAGATGTTAGTCATAATGAATAAAATTGAAGAGCATTCATCTTAATCTAACCCCCAGCTGTTACCTTAATATTGACTGTCGCTACCATAATTGTACTTCACTGGCGGGGTACTACCAGCCGAATACACATCGCCTGCCACTACGCTTGCCACTGGTTAACGGACCTAGCCCTTATTGTTCTAACACGGGACACGTGTATTTCAACCGGTCATCGAAGCAAATGAATATGCGACTTTGTGACTATGCGTACACCCAACTCTTCCCTTCTTGTTGTTATGACCATACCTTACCTCGTTACCTCGTATGTGCGTGTTGTCAATATCTCTCTTAAGATTCATTCAGACTTGCCTTGTTATACACAGTAGGAAAATATGTACTTAAAACATAAGGGTACGCTTCTGTCACTAGGGGCCGCGACATTCCTCGCCCTTGAAACTTTAACAAGCAGAGCAACGAGGAATCTGTGTTACAATCGTGCCGTTACCATCAGCTTCAAGTTCCTGCGCCAATCCTTGTTCCGACGTTATAATATGTTCTAAGGCACTGTAAATATTAAATCAAAAGGTCATCCGGGAGCTGGCCTCGCAAGGCGGACCATAACCAGCAGTCACAGAGGCAAGGCTCTGTGCGGGTCAGGAATATAAAGATATGGAAGAAGGGAAGGAGTACAATTAGATGCTGTGGATGTCAGATCAAGGTGGGAAAGAAGGAGAACAGCAGACGAACGAGACGACAGACGAACTAAGAGCGAAGGAATGACAAAGCGAATATACTACGCGTCATGAGGCTTTTGCCAGCGTGGCAAGTCAAGGTCATCGCGGGTCGAATCGACCTCGGGCCGCGTCTAAAACTGTGTCGGCAGGACGATGACGACTCTGTAAAAGATGGTGGGCATCACGATATTTGGTAAAAAATAAGTAGTCCATACTCTGTTTCTTGCTCGAAGAAATGTACAACCGCGTCGGAAATTTTGACAACTAGGGCGAAAATGATGTGAAGAATTGACGGTGAGCCGATTTCTTGCTCAGTTGATCTGCAGTAAACTATAAGTGTATATAGTTAAATGTGTGAATATGTGTGTAGTCCGCTTTACTTAACTGAATACGATGATTTCTCAGAATAAAATTACATTGTCACAGTTTAATATGACAAAGAAGCTGAGATTTTTTCAGATTGCCGTTCGATTTAGATGATTAAAGTTATCCAGATTTGCAGGCAATTAATTGACAGTATAACTTCGAAGTCTTGCTGTCCTGTGACGCAACGGTGTGTCGCACTATAGGGCATATTTCACTGCCGATTTTTTTTCATTTTCATCTATTTTTGTTTTTTTGAATTTGTTCGTCTATCATATTATCATGAACGTCTTCTCATCCGTTTAATGACACATGCCTCTATGTTAACCCACAAAGTACACCTGCAAAGAGTTCTCTATCTTCTCCACTGTTCTGTCGCTTCGTCTCTCAATGGATGATACTGTTTGACTTATGATATTTACATAAACTTTTCCAACTTTCGATGATATTTCAAAGAGGATCTTAGGACTCGTATTTCATCATAACTTAAATTGCGGAGTTTCTATCTTCCGACTGGGCCCCTCACAAACCAACATGATAACTGAAAATAAACAACAGATTTTTACGGCGTCATAGTCAAATTGACTCTTGCTGAATAATAAAGTGAGCTACTCTCGCCCTTTAGTGATCATTTTCGCGTTGAACGCTCCCGTGATCTTTTATACTGCAGTTTAAACCTGTTTTGGCTCACGAACTCTTTTTAATCTTCCTATAACGACACAATGACAAAGTAATGAGAGCTTCACGAAGTACCTTTTGTTACAGGTGTTGCTACTTTTCTGCTCAAATATGCAATGATAGAGCGTGCAAAACTATTTCCGTTGAATGTAATCTGAAATGGTATTCTATATTATATATTCTTTGTATGATATCAACATCAGTGAATTGCAAATAAATAGATTCATACTAATATATAGATTTCTTCTCTTGTTCAGATTGTCCTGGATGCTCCGGTAAGTATCAATAGAAAAAAGGGGAGGGGATGGTTGGCGGTAGTCACTCCTTAAATGATACACTAAATCTTCTCGAAAAAATTGGTTCTCAAAGTGAGCTCGCACTTATGTGAGCCTCTAACAAGAGAAATACTCGTGTTACGAAACTTGTAGGATATCACCGCACAGACTTGATATCTACTTAAATCCCCATTAGCGTTTGTACCCATGACTACCTTTTATTCTTAAACTGAACCGAACCAAATTCTGGTATGTCAAGAATACTATAATCGACAATAGAATCGGATACCATCGATCGTTACTGGTCGGTTGAGGGCAGCGCCATTCGCAGAAGACAATTCCTCGTAGATGATCTTCGAAGATCGTGGCATAGTTTACAAGGAGAGCGCTCAAGGACCCATTAGGAATATTATTTGTGGTAACTCTGATAGTGTCCTGGAGTGTGGTGATGGTGCGAAATGAAGAAACGACAATCCAAGTAAATAAGTGGATCAAGGCTGTTGCATCAACCTTATACGTAGATTGCCTTTCATACTTCGGGACCAGAGAACAAAAATGAATGTTGAACATTGAAAATTGCTTTATTGTTTTTCGAAATATCCCCTGTTAAGATCTATACAATTTTGCATGCGCCCGAACCAATTTTTGAAGCACTTTTGCCACTCTGATTGAGGTATCTCCAATACATGCACAACATCGCATCAATCGCTTCTTCAGGTGTCGAAAAACGTTGACTTCCATTTTTTACGTATGGGAATATAAAGAAGTCATTCACTGAAAAAGCCAGAGCAATATGGCGGAATGCTCATAAAATCGATACATACTCTAAGACCTAAACGAATGTCGTTCTGGAGTGGACTACGACCTCAGATGGATTCAACATACCATCGATAACTACTAGTGCTTTATCGCCAAAAATTGAACTAAGTTCATCCATGTACTGTCGAAAAAAATAATCGCACGAAAATGTTCATGATTTAATTCCATTTTTTGGCCTGAATAAAACATTCAAGTTAGGTTTTTCTGAGTACGTGCAACCTCAAAAAAGTCAAGCTTTACGGTAGAGCTATCAGTTGCCAGATTGCAACACTAGGGTTGCCCAATCCCGAACTATAAATACCAACCCTCGTAGATGTATATGTGTGTATTCGATTCCAAGTTTACGAGATAGGAAATCTTATATGAGCAAGCAGTTCTTTCAAAATACATGCAACACGCAACGGTGCAATCTCTGTAACTGTCATATGATATAATATCCACTATCTCCACATACCGAATTCCATTTGAATACCAGCCACGTTCCAACCACGTATTGACTCAGGTGGTTGCAGCCCGACCCATATCGTCCTCCCTACTTCTTCTGATAACTAAACTCTGGAAAAAGGGTGGAGAGTAAAAAGGTGAAGCCACGCTGTCAAGCGCCTGTTTGACCTACTTTTTACTCGCTTGCGTTTCAACGCATCAACCTTAAGTAGCCCATTCATACAAATGGTTTCTATGTGTAGTTACATGAATATTGTCGAGGCCGGGAGGCAAGGCAGGGAAGGGGGTGAGTAGGAGTGCGGAGATCAGCCGTATTGGCGTCATCGCACAAGCGTTTTCGTTCTATGGAATCCTTACCGATACTCGTTCAGACCAACTTTAAGTCGGGTGTCGGTAACAGACTCGTTTGGGAGGGTGAAATCACTGACATCTTTCTCTGCTAGCCATCGAGAAGTAGAAGTAGGATGCGCGCATGTCTCCAAAAATGGTATCGATTGAAGCCGACGAAATTTGACGTCTTTGTTGAGATAGTTAGTAATAGGCAGTGATTATTAAGAATAACCGCCATGGTATATTTGAGCAGATGGGTCAGACGGAAACATGATATGTTTCAGAAATATGAATGTAATAGAGGAACGAATCCATTTCAGAACAAAGAAGTGAGGGTGTTTTTGTAGCAATTAAGACTCGTCATAGGATAATTAGTTTGCTCCACTGTTGGTTCCTTGACTTGAAAGAAAGCCTTGTCACCTTTGTACTTTGATAGTAGGGCGCATTCGATTGGAGGGAAGTGGGTACATGGGTCATGATCAGTATACCATTTGGAATTCGTACTGGATCTGATGTTTGACCTGTTGAGGGCCGCTTCTACCGTGAGTTTTACCAGGGAGAAATGAATTGTGGGATGAACCAACCGAAAAGGTTTTGGCGAAAGGTAACGACTAGACAGATGAGGCTCGTGGACTCCCTATAGCGACGTACATGTTAGTTAGTTGCATATTCTTTACGGAAGTTTCGAATGAAAGAATGTTGTGCTTCATGTCGCTCGACAAGCATAACCTTCTGGACTCATACCCGCCCGCGACAAGGACGAATGGAGATACACTGAAGCTCCTCAAGGGAATCGATAACCAACAAGGCGACAGATGATATTATGCTTTCAAGATTCCATCTTCAGAAATGTAAATAGTTATGTAGGAGGCAAACCATGCACTGGCATCCGTGTATGGATTCCGTATAAATTTTTATCTGATCGCTATCCACCGGCAAATTTTTCCCTGTCGCTTGTTTCTACAATTTATTACATCATAGCACATACAATTCTCTATAAAAGCACTTGTCAGCACAGTAATGCGCTGAAACCAGCTGTCAGCTGGATTTCATAGTGCCTGCCCTAAGACATGTTTCTGTATTTCCTTTCAATCGTACGTTTTGATTTCATGATTCAGTTAAATGATTCCCTTTGAGCAAGGCAACTCAGCAGATTTTCAGGTCCTGCTAACGGATGCCCTCCCTCCAGGATATATAGGTTGCTTTGAAGCCTATTTCGTCTTAAAACCATTAGACAATGAATATTCATTTCAGGAAACACACTTCTAGCACGGCAGCCGGAGGTCCGCTCAGGGGTTTCATAATTGTCTAGTGCCAGAGATGTTTTGCTTCCCGATAATCACTGTTCTAAATGTATTGAAGCCTCTTTTGCACTACAGATTTTGCAGTCTCGGCCGTTCATTCGCAGCTGCGGCAATGGATGTACTGAATACAAATTACTCATCGTCACCGATCTTGATAGGGCTTCAAAAGCTGGTAATTGGACATGGAGAGCTGTTACCCGACAAGGTCTTCTGAAGTTGGATATTCATAGTAAGCCTCACGTGAGCATAAAGTGGGACTCAGACAGAAACTTGACATCGTAAGTATACTATTGAATATTGATTTTTTTTTGTCATGGGAAGGAAGCTACGGGATAGTATGGAGCATTAGGGGAAGGAGACCGCTGCCTGCAGCATGAGAAGAGTAAGCGTTATGCGAGTAGCTTTGGTTCAGAATAGAAGCGAAAGGAGGTATGCATGGTTGCACGCAGAACGTAGCAAGCATGTGTGCAAGTCAAATTTCCATTTAAAATTTTCATCAATGCGGTATTTTACCGCACTTTGATAGACCACTTTTGACTGCTTTCCCATACAGCATTGTTGCGCAAGAAGCTGCTGAGCTAATAACAGTGTGTCTTGAATAGGAAACAAAGAGAAACATTTCCTAGCTTCACTATTTAGCCTGTCATATTTGATTGATGATAACGTTTCATGATATTGGGTAGTATATGAGTCGCACTAACTATTTAAAACGCAGCGAATTCAGGGCAATGAACGTCAAAGGCCGTGCTATGGAGTTATCCGATTTGACGGTGTTTCACAATAGAGTACTCACCCCTGACGACAGGACCGGACTGATCAGTGAAATAAGGGACAACCAGGTGACAGAAGACATTCAGCCTTTATTCTAATCCTTAAGGGATCATGAGGCCGATTCAGATTATTCCTTGGGTGTTCCTTAATTCTGGCCCTGGGAACACGACTGACGCTTTCAAATGCGAGTGGATGACCATCAAGGATGGCTTGCTCTACGTTGGAAGCCATGGCGTTGTGAGTGAGATTTGTTAATGTGAAGGTGCACTCATTCTGCTAAATACTTGTGCTTCAAAATTATTTAGTCCATACTTGTAGAACTTTTACAGAATTCTAGGAAAGGGATTCGACGAAAACTCAATACATGCATTAGTTTTAGCTCGGTTTTGTTACTGTTATTGTTTTCAGGAGTATAAAACTAGGCACGGCTCACACAGGAACAACATGTGGGTCAAAACGGTTACTTCAAAAGGAGAGGTAAGGTTGAATAAATCAGGTGAAGTTCAACACCATTTTATTTAATTTATTTTTAGCTATATCATTACATCATTAGCCCCAATTGATAAGTTAGGTGTTTATAACAGTAGGGCAAGGAGGCATAACTGACGCGTCTTTTTGTAGCATACCTCGTTTGCTGCTGCTTACGATGCTAACGCTTTATCACGCTTATAAGTTCATTGCTTCGGAGAGCTTGAAGTCAATGACACAACAAAGAATCGTCCCGCTGCTCTACAAAACACCTGAGTTCATTGCTGCCAATTTTACTTCCTATTTTAGACTTTCTACTTTGCCAGGATGAAATTTTTATGTGCAGGGTATGAGTCTGTGGCGAATGCATGAATCTTTCGAGGAAATTAACGACCTCCCCTTTCTCTAGATGATGCCCTCTGCGCCCCCACCACTTTCCCTTTTTGTAGCGTAATATGCATTAGAGTATCTAAATTATAGCTAGCTTTGATTTTCTTTCGAAGTGATTAAGAGTTATTTAAACTTCTACTATCGTGTCTATCAAGGTCACCAACAAGAATTGGATTGATGTCTACAACAAAATGAAGGCTTCCGTCGGTA